CCTGAGGTTTTGCCTCAAAGTGAACCAGTTCAGCAAGAGGAAGAGGAGGGAGTCATGGAAGTCTGGGAGGCGCGCAGGGATGACCGGGACTTTTGCCAACAGTCCATCAAGGAAGTAACAGGTAGTAGCAGGTAGTTGATTGCAATTGAAAATTCTTGATACTTCTTGGTTGTCCGTGGTGTAAAGCCAGTCGTCCAACTCCTATTGAAAGACATCCTTTTCCTTTTGGTGATGTCAAACAAACATACTTGCTCTTCCTGGCTTCGACTGGAGGGAAACGGGCCTGATGTGCATTTCTAAGCAGTGCTCAACCTAAGGGAGCAAGACTGAACACTTTTCCTTGACATTTTGGGAGTATGGACTGGGGCCTCACTGCCTCACTCGGTTCTTTTGTACTCTGCCTCTCACTTGAATTCATTTGACCTGTGCCTTGAGGAATCTGAAGATGGACATGAAAGCTTTGACGGCAGTGACGCTGAATGGTAGGAACATGTACAAACATAATTTGAACTTTGCCTGTTCCAGCATGGCATGCTTGTGATATATCAATATCATCTCAAAGAGATGAAAACACAGTAGAAAATCAAATTGTCAAATTAAGATCGGTTGTCCAGTTGTGCAATTTAGAAGTTGTGGGGTTTCAGTGGATGGTTGCAAAGATCGTTTACCAAGTTGTGGAATCAGTTCCAAGTCTTTGAGAGTTAACTCACGCACTAAAAACTGCCCATTTTTGGTAGGATTGGAGCAAGCACGACGATAAACCAGTGTTATGAGAGCGTGACAATTGTTGTTGGTCATGCTCGATTTTTGCACCATCCGCTGCAAGGGGGTTGTGATTTTACCTACTCTGCTTGAAAAAAAATCGCGACACGATTACACGATGTGTCTGCTTCTGGCTGGCAGCCACTGATTGCCTGATTGCCTTGGTAACTTTGCACATGTACAGCGCCAGCATCAGCTAGCATGAGCACTGTTAGCATCCGTTAGCGCTCTCCAAGATGCAAAGTTGTGCTCTGGGAGGCTAAGGGAATCCACTTTGCACAGCCCCGCAGCTTTGAGGCTGATATCAGCTGCGGAGTTCTATCTCGACTTATTTTCTCGCGCCTTCTCTCCCATCGGTCCAACTTCAAACGATGCCACCGAAAGGGATGAGCTGGGTGGATCTGGTGAGAAAAACGGATCCAGCAAGGGCAACGGTGGAGCCAAAGGTGATGCAAAAGGCAGATCCACAGAAAGTCCGCCTTCAACTCCCGAAATGGGACCAGACAAAACAACGGCCCCGAGTGCAAGCAACGATCTCCAGTTTTCACGTGGGAGTGTTGGCTCAAGCGGTGCTGGTAGTTCTGAAACAGCACTGCACAGGCCAGAGACCGAGCCTGCAGATGAATCCAAGGGCAAGGATTCAGGACTCAGAGGACCTGCACGCTGGAAAGAACCTGGTCACAGAAAGGGAAACAAAGGCACATCAAAAGGATCAAAAGGGAAGCAGCCCACAAATCCTCGCGAAGTCCGGGTGCCCAAGACCTCAGGAAAAGGAAGCCCCCCTTCTAGTCCAGAGCCACAAGAAAGGGAGGAAGCCTGCGCACAAGAACCCGAGCCTGCGAATGCCCACCAAAGTGCTGGAGCGGAGGAGTCGCAGCCTTCCAGCAAGGCTTCAACTCCGAGGGAGGAGTCGGCGCATCCCAGTGGTTCCTGCAGTGCGAGGAGCTCAGAACTGGAGAAGCAAGAGCTGGAGCCCGCAGAGCCAGTCGAGCCAGCAGAGCGCGCATAGCCAGAAGCGCCAGCAGATGAATCCAGGGAAAGACAGTACTTACTGTCAGTACTGACTGTCAGTACTGTCTTTGCCTTGGATTCATCTGCCGGCGTTGCTAGCTCTGCACGCTCCCAAAAAGGGAAACAAAGGCACACCAATTTTTGAAGTGCCCTTGTTTCCCTTTTTGGGAGCGTAAAAGGAACCGGCCAAGAAGCCCGGGTGAAGGGGGCAGGAAAAGGAGGGCTTCCTTCAACTTTGGAGCCAGCGCCAAAGATCACGGAGGCAGCCAGTGCTTTGGCGGGGAAGCAGGAAACATTGGAGTCCCAGCCTTCCAGCAAGGCTGCGACTCAAAGGGACGATTCACCGCATGTCAGCGCTGAGTCAGCAGTGCGAGTAGTTCTGGACCGCCAGAGCCAGCGAAGGAGGAAGGACCTCGAGCAGCAAATCAGGCTTCAAACCAAGCGGTGAACGGAAGCCAGCCTGCAATTCCATTTGAGGATGGAACTAACTCCGCGGTTCCACTGACAAAGGCTGGACGTTTTGAAGATGGAGAGGGATCCGAGGATTTGTCCAACAAGCTAGAGTTGGACACATTTGACAGAACATTCTACCTGTCAGGTAGAATGTTCTGTAATCAAATGTGTCCGAATGATCTTCGAAATCGAGATTCGGACACAGAGCCAACAATTTACGGTTCTGATTCGGAATCCTCTGATGAGGGTTTCTAATGGTTTCTAGTCTGGTCCGGAGAAGTTGGTACTGTGCAGTACCACAGACATGCTCAGAGTTTCACCTAGCGCGTGCAAAAAAGAACGCAGCTGAGAAGTGAAAAGAATGAGTTTACATGAGTTTACAACAGTTTAGAGTCAGCAAAGATACAGATCACAGACTGAGCAAAGACTAGCAAAGAAGCATTTCTCAGCTTTTCAGACACAATTCAATCGAGGTCTAGGTCTTGGACAGGAGTCCTGAATATGGCTCAAAAAGAAACGATAAGATGAAAGAAACATCGGCATCAGCATCAGCATCATCATCATCATCATCATCATCATCATCATCATGATCATGATGTTCATGATCATGATCATGATCATGATCATGATCATGATGTTCATCTTCATGTTCGTCTTCATTTTCATCTTTAGATAGCAAGTGCAAGCTGCCACATCCATGAACGCTTTGATAGCACTGTTGCAGCCTTAGCAATTCCAACAATGGTTCGAGGAATGCCATTGTTTTGATATGTTTTGATTGTTTTAAGGGAAATGCCAAGAAGGGGAGGGGATAAACACTGCCTTGGAAGTTCTCTAGCAAGAGTTGAGTGCTCAGTCTTGTTTGAATTAATACGTGAAAATTTGTTGATCCCTGTGCAGTTATTCTGCCTCCAGGATTTGCTTGGGACTGAACCCAAACCCTAAACATGAGACCTGGAGGAAACGATTTTGACACCGTGTTTTGAAAACGGTCCCTACTTGTGAGCCCCGAGATTTTGTTTTCTGAAAAACATTTATAAGCTAAATCAGTGAAGACGAACAAACATGAGACCTGGAGGAAACGATTTTGACACCGTGTTTTGAAAACGGTCCCTACTTTTGAGCCCCGAGATTTTGTTTTCTGAAAAACATTTGCTAAATCAGTGAAGACGAACAACCATGAGACCTGGAGGAAACGATTTTGACACCGTGTTTTGAAAACTGTCTCTACTTTGAGCCCCGAAAATGGTTTTCTGAAAAGCATGTGCTAAATCAGTGAAGACGAACAAACATGAGACCTGGAGGAAACGATTGTGACACAGTGTTTTGAAAACGGTCCCTACTTTTGAGCCCCGCGATTTTGTTTTCTGAAAAACATTTGCTAAATCAGTGAAGACGAACAAACATGAGACCTGGAGGAAACGATTTTGACACCGTGTTTTGAAAACGGTCCCTACTTTTGAGCCCCGAGATTTTGTTTTCTGAAAAACGTTTAAGCTAAATCAGTGAAGACGAACAACCATGAGACCTGGAGGAAACGATTGTGACACAGTGTTTTGAAAACGGTCCCTACTTTTCAGCCCCGAGATTTTGTTTTCTGAAAAACATTTAAGCTAAATCAGTGAAGACGAACAACCATGAGACCTGGAGGAAACGATTGTGACACAGTGTTTTGAAAACGGTCCCTACTTTTGAGCCCCGAGATTTTGTTTTCTGAGAAGCATGTGCTAAATCAGTGAAGACAAACAACCATGAGACCTGGAGGAAACGATTGTGACACTGTGTTTAATTATTAAAAACAGTCCTTACTTTGCAGTAATTACTTTGCAGAGCGAGATTTGCGGTTTATGAGGAGATGGATCACCTCGAGCAGTTCTTGTGGTGCAGGAGATTCAGTTGCTATTGTGGGTTTTCCATTGTTTTGTAAGAACCTTATCGCTGATTAATATTCTGTATAGTTATTCTATCGTATTCTCGTTTTTGATTAAGGACTGTGTGCTCAGTCGAAGATTGTGCAAGTGAGAAAGAACCTGGCGCACTTTTCCCCAGATTATGCAGATGATTCCAGTGGCGATATTCCTGAACTCATCACCGTCGCAAATTGACCGAAGAGCCAGGACCATTGACACATAGACGTTGATGAGCAGTGCGGTTGGGTAAAAAAGGATAGCCTCAAGTGCAACATGTGGTAGAAGTGCAAAGAACATGACCGGAGAAACTGACACAATCACCAGTCAAAACCAACATCTGAAATTTCATCTTATTTTGTCAACTTGTGTTTCATTACTGGGGAGGAAGTAGAGCTGTGCACAGGTGCGTGAATTTTAAACTCCACAGACACATGGGATCTCCATTGCTCACATTCTGGAAACATACGTTTGTTCGATTTGTACGGGCAATAGGTTCGACGTATTGGGAGATCTTTCCCCGAACCTGCCAACGCGTAAGATATCGCAAGATTGAACAATGAAGTGAAACGAAAAATCGCAAAGCAGCTTGGCGCTTGAAACCGGATTTCACAGCTACAGCTACAACATCCAACTTTTCAAAACACAATGCTTTTTTCATCCTGCAAATCACAGCATACGCTGACTAGTGACTCGTGGTGTGAGGTGGTTGCAAGACATAGCCAAAACCGGCCGGCTTTTCCTTTCCACTGATTGGGCTGCTTCGCATCTTTTGCTAAAAGAGCCCGATATCAACGTGTGAAGGGTTACAGCCATTCGTCACGATGTCGATGGCGCACGAGTGGCGCCCATGCACATGGCAGGTAAATGCCGAGTTGGAAGCATGGATGCTTCTTGGCCGAGTATTTGATATGGTCTGTTCAATGGATGTCAACATCAATCTATTTCTCTTCGTTTTGCCTGCTGTTCTTCTCTGTTTTGAGGCATTTGCAGCCGGCTGTCCAACTTTTGTTTGTCTCACAGCTGGCACGGCAGCTTGCTAAGCAGCTGGATTGCGAAAGGGGCTGCTGCCAGCCTCCAGTTTTTGAGGCCAGTGTGCCTCTGTCAGACTTCCAGCTTGAGAAGCTTCCTGTCCCAGAGAAGTTGAAGTCTTTGTGTTTCTCATTTTCCCTGTTGAGAATGCAAGGCGTTCAATGCCTGGAGCAATCTTTGAAAAAGCATGGAACTCAGGAAATTTTGGAATTTTCAGATGGTATCTTACATCCTTTGATATCCGTGTCAAATCAGTGATATAATGACTTCATTTGTGGCCCTTTGCGGCCAAATGTTGGCGAGATTGAGAACAGTACAGTAAAAGGACGTAAAAGGGATATGACTTTCCGAAATTGCTCGACATTTTGACACCAGCCCCCCACCTCTGTCGACGCCATCACCTGAGCCTGCTGCGGGATCCTTCCCAATCAGGACCTTTTGCAAGTGGCTTCCACAGAGGAGGAGTCCGAGAAGGACACGAGGCTTTGGGCCGGTCAAGATCCAAACTGACCCTTCGTGACCATTTCATTGTGAGAAAAAAATCCAACTACCGACTTTCAGTCAAGGGCATACTGCGAAGACATGCTAAGACGATCTATGACATAATTGTGAATCAAGCAGCTGGCTCATGCAGCGCAACTACAGCGTCTCTTCTGAACTCCTTTCCTTCCGTGCTCGGAGGCGACTCTCAGTTGGTACGACGGCTACGGGGGTGCCCGAAGAGGATGATGTGCTTCAGGAGCTTGATGAGTCTGACGAGGGGGAGGATATCAATAACGTTGATGATCATTCGGACGGAGATGGTGTTGCCCAGGCCATCTGCACAGTTTATTCAAGCTTCCAGCGTGCCGACTCGTCTCAAATTCTATCCGTGGCTGTAGTCTTGCAGTCCATGTTTGCAATTTAATGTGGCTGCGATGCAATTCTTGCTCGATCAACATCAAACCATGACCTAAGTCACTTGACATTCCAGTGTGTTTCGGCTTCTCGCCTCCACTTCACCTGGACTTTTTCTACAGGGCTTGATCGACCTAGGCATCCGTGCAGCAAGGATTGCTCAATGCTGAGTCTGAGGATGATTTAGAGGCTCCCCCAATTTCGCTGTAGAATTTTCAAATCGTGGGCTCAACCTGGAAAACGACGCAGGCACCAGAAGTGCTCAAGACTGAGTCCGAGGATAATCTGGAGGCGGCGATGTTAGGCTGTTAGGCTTCGACTGGAGGGAAACGGGCCTGATGTGCATTTCTTAGCAGTGCTCAACCTAAGGGAGCAAAACTGAACACTTTTCCTTGACATTTTGCGAGTATGGACTGGGGCCTCACTGCCTCACTCGGTTCTTTTGTACTCTGCCTCTCACTTGAATTCATTTGACCTGTGCCTTGAGGAATCTGAAGGTGGACATGAAAACTTTGCCGGCAGTGACGCTGGATGGTAGGAACATGTACAAACATAATTTGAACTTTGCCTGTTCCAGCATGGCATGCTTGTGACAAATCAATATCATCTCAAAGAGATGAAAACACAGTAGAAAATTTTGTCAAATTAAGATCGGTTGTCCAGTTGTGCAATTTAGAAGCTGTGGGGTTTCAGGGATGGTTGCAAAGATCGTTTACCAAGTTGTGGAATCAGTTCCAAGTCTTTTGAGAGTTAACTCACGCACTAAAAACTGCCCATCTTTGGTAGGATTGGAGCAAGCACGACGATAAACCAGTGTTATGAGAGCGTGACAATTGTTGTTGGTCATGCTCGATTTTTGCACCATCAGCTGCAAGGGGGTTGTGATTTTACCTACTCTGCTTGAAAAAAAATCGCGACACGATTACACGATGTGTCTGCTTCTGGCTGGCAGCCACTGATTGCCTGATTGCCTTGGTAACTTTGCACATGTACGGCGCCAGCATCAGCTAGCATGAGCACCGTTAGCATCCGTTAGCGCTATCCAAGATGCAAAGTTGTGCTCTGGGAGGCTAAGGGAATCCACTTTGCGCAGCTTTGAGGCTGATATCAGCTGAGGAGTTCTATCTCGACTTGTTTTCTCGCGCCTTCTCTCCCGTCAACGATGCCACCGAAAGGGATGAGCTGGGCGGATCTGGTGAGAAAAAACGGATCCAGCAAGGGCAACGGTGGAGCCAAAGGTGATGCAAAAGGCAGATCCACAGAAAGTCTGCCTTCAAGTCCCGAAATGGGACCAGACAAAACAACGGCCCCGAGTGCAAGCAACGATCTCCAGTTTTCACGTGGGAGTGTTGGCTCAAGCGGTGCTGGTAGTTCTGAAACAGCAATGCACAGGCCAGAGACCGAGCGTGCAGATGAATCCAAGGGACCTGCACACTGGAAAGAACCTGGTCACAGAAAAGGAAACAAAGGCTGGGCAAAAGGATCAAAAGGGAAGCAGCCCACAAATCCTCGCGAAGTCCGGGTGCCCAAGACCTCAGGAAAAGGAAGCCCCCCTTCTAGTCCAGAGCCACAAGAAAGGGAGGAAGCCTGCGCACAAGAACCCGAGCCTGCGAATGCCCACCAAAGTGCTGGAGCGGAGGAGTCGCAGCCTTCCAGCAAGGCTTCAACTCCGAGGGAGGAGTCGGCGCATCCCAGTGGTTCCTGCAGTGCGAGGAGCTCAGAACTCCTGGAGAAGCAAGAGCCGGAGCCCGCACAGCCAGAAGAGCCCACAGAGCGCGCAGAGCCAGCAGCGCCAGCAGAGCCGGCAGAGCGTGCAGAAGCAGCAGGGGAATCGAAAACAAAGACAGTCCTGACGGGCTGGGCGAAATTATTTGGAGGACCCAGTGCAGCAGACCCGGCTCCCAGAAAGGGAAGCAAGGGCTCTTCAAAAGGATCAAAAGGCAAGCAGCCCACAAATCCTCGCGAAGTCCAGGTGCCCAAGACCTCAGGAAAAGGAAGCCCCCCTTCTAGTCCAGAGCCAGAAGCAAGGGAGGAAGCCTGCGCACAAGAACCTGAGCCTGCGAATGCCCACCAAAGTGCTGGAGCGGAGGAGTCGCAGCCTTCCAGCAAGGCTTCAACTCCGAGGGAGGAGTCGGCGCATCCCAGTGGTTCCTGCAGCGCGAGGAGCTCAGAACTCCTGGAGAAGCAAGAGCCGGAGCCCGCAGAGGCAGAAGAGCCCACAGAGCGCGCAGAGCCAGCAGCGCCAGCAGAGCCGGCAGAGCGTGCAGAGGCAGCAGGGGAATCGAAAGCAAAGACAGTCCTGACGGGCTGGGCGAAATTATTTGGAGGACCCAGTGCAGCAGACCCGGCTCCCAGAAAGGGAAAGAAGGGCTCTTCAAAAGGATCAAAAGGCAAGCAGCCCACAAATCCTCGCGAAGTCCAGGTGCCCAAGACCTCAGGAAAAGGAAGCCCCCCTTCTAGTCCAGAGCCAGAAGCAAGGGAGGAAGCCTGCGCACAAGAACCCGAGCCTGCGAATGCCCACCATAGTGCTGGAGCGGAGGAGGGAGGAGTCGGCGCATCCCAGTGGTTCCTGCAGTGCGAGGAGCTCAGAACTCCTGGAGAAGCAAGAGCCGGAGCCCGCAGAGCCAGAAGAGCCCACAGAGCGCGCAGAGCCAGCAGCGCCAGCAGAGCCGGCAGAGCGTGCAGAAGCAGCAGGGGAATCGAAAACAAAGACAGTCCTGACGGGCTGGGCGAAATTATTTGGAGGACCCAGTGCAGCAGACCCGGCTCCCAGAAAGGGAAAGAAGGGCTCTTCAATTTTGAAGAGCCCTTCTTTCCCTTTCTGACAAGCTAGAGTTGGACACATTTGACTATAGAACATTCTACCTGTCAGGTAGAATGTTCTGTAATCAAATGTGTCCGAATGATCTTCGAAATCGAGATTCGGACACAGAGCCAACAATTTACGGTTCTGATTCGGAATCCTCTGATGAGGGTTTCTAATGGTTTCTAGTCTGGTCCGGAGAAGTTGGTACTGTGCAGTACCACAGACATGCTCAGAGTTTCACCTAGCGCGTGCAAAAAAGAACACAGCTGAGAAGTGAAAAGAATGAGTTTACATGAGTTTACAACAGTTTAGAGTCAGCAAAGATACAGATCACAGACTGAGCAAAGACTAGCAAAGAAGCATTTCTCAGCTTTTTTAGACACAATTCAATCGAGGTCTAGGTCTTGGACAGGAGTCCTGAATATGGCTCAAAAAGAAACGATAAGATGAAAAAAACATCAGCATCAGCATCAGCATCAGCACCACCACCACCACCACCACCACCAGCATCATCATCATCATCATCATCATCATGATCATGATGTTCATCTTTATGTTCGTCTTCATTTTCATCTTGAGATAGCAAGTGCAAGCTGCCAAATCCATGAACGCTTTGATAGCACTGTTGCAGCCTTAGCAATTCCAACATTGGTTCGAGGAATGCCATTGTTTTGATTGTTTTAAGGGCAATGCCAAGAAGGGGAGGGGATAAACACTGCCTTGGAAGTTCTCTAGCAAGAGTTGAGTGCTCAGTTTTGTTTGAATTAATACGTGAAAGTTTGTTGATCCCTGTGCAGTTTTTCTGCCTCCAGGATTTGCTTGGGACTGAACCCAAACCTGAGTGATTGCCAGATATTGCCAGGCCACGTGTCCAAGCCCATGCAAGGGCACTCCCAGCTTTGCGGGTACAGGCCCATCACGTTAAACCGAATTCTGTAATGTACAATGAAACGGACTTAGTGTATTATGGTTGTTCTATGTTGTTCTTGTCCTTGTTATTACCTTGTTTATTTTTACCTAGCAAATTAAATTGGTGGGCCGCCTGTCCAAAATTGTTGGCCATTTCCTGAGTAGTTCGCAAAGCCAGGTGAAACGACGCCAAGCTTTCAGCGTCAGGCTCTGGTTGCGGATTTTCAAGAGTCTTGACACGAGGAACTGATGAGCATTCACTTCTGCATGTAGTTTTAAGATGTTTAAAGATGTTCGCTGCAACCCCTAGGTTTGCCCGCGGCCAATCCCGCATATCTTTTGACATGTTCAAATCCCTGCGCAGGGTTCAAGTTCACGAAAGGTAGCTCCAGTGCGGCTACCTTGAGTTTTGCTTTACAAAGTAAAGGGGAGGGCGGCCAGCCTCGTTACCTGATTATTCAGGAGATTGCTAGTCATTTCAGTCCCCCCCCATACCCCCACCCCCTTCCACCCTAAGAGCAGACTAAAAACATTGTAATTTACAGATATTTACAGTATTTTTTTTCTTTTCGGATTAAGAAACCAAATTTTGCCACATGGTGAAACCTCCGTAAATACCAGTGTTTTTGCTAGGTGCTGGCCAAAAAACATTGTAAATACCGTGATTTTTGCTACCAGAGACAAAACACATCGTAAATACCGTGGTGTTGAGCTTCCGACCCGCCAAAAACATCGGTATTTACAGTGTTTGTTGGTCCGAGAGTTGTAAAAACACGCGAAAACACCACCTATATGACGATTTTCGGCCACTACGGAACCGAGAAAAAAAGCTGCAGGGGCAACAGCAGCAACAACAACAACAACAACAACAACAACCACAACCACAACCACAACCACAACAACAACCACAACAACCACAACCACAACCACAACAACCACAACAACCACAACAACCACAACAACCACAACAACCACAACAACCACAACAACCACAACACCACAACAACCACAACAACCACAACATCCACAACAATCACAACAATCACAACAAACACAACAAACACAACAAACACAACAATCACAACCACAACAACGACAACACCAACAGCAACAACAACAACAACAACACCAACAACACCAACCCGACCAACAACAGCAACACCACCAACACCACTAACACTACCAACACCACCAACAAACCCAACCACACCAGCAACAGTAACAACACCAGCAACACTAACAACACCAACAACACCAACAACACCAACACCAGCACCACCAACACCACCAACACCACGAGCACCACCAACACCACCAACACCATCAACACCACCAAGAACACTTCATGTTTGTTCCCTTGCCCTCTCCCCTTCGTTTTTTCTTCGGTTCCTTTCTTGCTCACCTACCTTTCGTGTTCCCCCTCTCAAGTTTTTACTTTCCAAAACAACAAACGAACACCAAAACCCTGAAACCTAAAACCCTAAACCCTAAATTAATACCCCAAATCCTGAAAACTTGGAGCCAAAATCACTGCATATAGCCAGTGTTTTCATTCATCCTCTGGTGATAAGTATATCATATTGTTTGGATATGTTGTTTGAGTGTGGGCGAACCAGGGGGTCGCGGGGTTTTAAGTATGTAAGTCTGATACGACTTGTGAGTGCTGAGATTGTGAAATGCTCAGCTGTCAGTGCGTGACCCTCAAGTGAAACTGCAGGTGGCATGGTGCATGGAATTTGCAGCGACATGCCACAGTTCGGGAGGTGAGCGTAGAGATGCATGAAGTACTGTGTCACAAGCTGTCCCATTGGATAAACAATAAAGTCGTAGAGGGGAAGATTGTCTTTCAACGCTTGCAACGTTGTTTTTCTTTGACAAATGGCCATGGCAGGTTGGCAAGGTGGTTCAAGAAAACATGCCTCCATCTCGTTTTGTCTAACTACGAAGAGGCCGCGATGTGTCGGCTTGCACTTTCAAATGCGTCGAAATGATTCAAAATGTTGCTTGGCTTTTGCATTGCCTGGAGGTTGTGAGCAGGGTATCATAGTGTTCTTCTTACTTTGGATCACTAGCAAAAATATACATGGATAGGAATGGATAGAAATTGATAGAAATGGATACGAATAAATACACATTGGAAAGAAACAGGCAGGAATTGACAGAAATAAATAGACATGGAGAGACTGGAAAGGGGGATGGACAGAAATGGATAGGAATAAATCGCAATGGACAGAAATGAATAGGAATGGATAGAAATGGATGGGAATAGGAATGCATAGAAATGGATAGAAATTGAAAGAAATGACAGAAACTGGAGAGAAATGGAAAGAAACGAATCGAAATGAAGAGAAATGGAAAGCAATGGATAAAACATTATTGAAATGGATCGAAACAAATAGAAGTGGATGGACATGACAAGAAATTGATAGGTATGGATTCTGGATTCTCTCCACTCCCTCCACCCACTAAAGATCCGTAGAGGTCAGAAAGCGCCGTGGCAGCCTTCCTTGCCTCTGTTGCTGGGTTTCGTCACCTGGTGATGCGAGCTCTTTCGCCGCATGATGCCAGGCTTGCTCTTTGGGCTGGCGCCGAGAATCCATGTAACACCTACCAACCAAAGGAACACATGAATTTTTATGAAAGCTGCTTCACACATATATGTATAAATATATTATATATATATATGTATATATATATATTAAATAAAGGAAGTTTGGAAGTCAAACTTCCGACAATATGGACAGATGAAAAGCAGAGATGGGCAGAGTCAGAGAAGAGAAGAGAAGAGAAGAAGAAAGAAAGAAGATCAAAGAGAAAGTCTCCGAAGAAAGAAGATCCAGGTGCGCGAAAAGCTAGGAAAGTCGTGAAAAGCTTTGTTTTTCCACCTATGACATATTCGCACCATAACTAACCTAGGAACAAAAGGAACACATGAAAAACTTATGAAAGCTGCTTCACACATACCTACATACATACATACATACATACATACATACATACCTACCTACATGCATGCATGCATGCATGCATACATACATACATACATACATACAGAAATACATACATAAATACATAAATACATAATTGCACCTTACCAAAAAATACGCACGTCATCACATGTCAATTACTTTAAATCTTAAAGTAATTGACATGTGGTGAAATTTTAAACCCATTTTGGATTATTTTGAATCCGGTTCCTGAGGTTTTGCCTCAAAGTGAACCAGTTCAGCAAGATGAGGAGGAAGAGGAGGGAGTCATGGAAGTCTCGGAGGCGCGCAGGGATGACCGGGACTTTTGCCAACAGTCAAGGAAGTAAGAGGTAGTAGCAGGTAGTTGATTGCAATTGAAAATTCTTGATACTTCTTGGTTGTCCGTGGTGTAAAGCCAGTCGTCCAACTCCTATTGAAAGACATCCTTTTCCTTTTGGTGATGTCAAACAAACATACTTGCTCTTCCTGGCTTCGACTGGAGGGAAACGGGCCTGATGTGCATTTCTAAGCAGTGCTCAACCTAAGGGAGCAAGACTGAACACTTTTCCTTGACATTTTGGGAGTATGGACTGGGGCCTCACTGCCTCACTCGGTTCTTTTGTACCCTGCCTCTCACTTGAATTCATTTGACCTGTGCCTTGAGGAATCTGAAGGTGGACATGAAAGCTTTGACGGCAGTGACGCTGAATGGTAGGAACATAATTTGAACTTTGCCTGTTCCAGCATGGCATGCTTGTGATATATCAATATCATCTCAAAGAGATGAAAACACAGTAGAAAATCAAATTGTCAAATTAAGATCGGTTGTCCAGTTGTGCAATTTAGAAGTTGTGGGGTTTCAGTGGATGGTTGCAAAGATCGTTTACCAAGTTGTGGAATCAGTTCCAAGTCTTTGAGAGTTAACTCACGCACTAAAAACTGCCCATTTTTGGTAGGATTGGAGCAAGCACGACGATAAACCAGTGTTATGAGAGCGTGACAATTGTTGTTGGTCATGCTCGATTTTTGCACCATCCGCTGCAAGGGGGTTGTGATTTTACCTACTCTGCTTGAAAAAAAATCGCGACACGATTACACGATGTGTCTGCTTCTGGCTGGCAGCCACTGATTGCCTGATTGCCTTGGTAACTTTGCACATGTACAGCGCCAGCATCAGCTAGCATGAGCACTGTTAGCATCCGTTAGCGCTCTCCAAGATGCAAAGTTGTGCTCTGGGAGGCTAAGGGAATCCACTTTGCACAGCCCCGCAGCTTTGAGGCTGATATCAGCTGCGGAGTTCTATCTCGACTTATTTTCTCGCGCCTTCTCTCCCATCGGTCCAACTTCAAACGATGCCACCGAAAGGGATGAGCTGGGTGGATCTGGTGAGAAAAACGGATCCAGCAAGGGCAACGGTGGAGCCAAAGGTGATGCAAAAGGCAGATCCACAGAAAGTCCGCCTTCAACTCCCGAAATGGGACCAGACAAAACAACGGCCCCGAGTGCAAGCAACGATCTCCAGTTTTCACGTGGGAGTGTTGGCTCAAGCGGTGCTGGTAGTTCTGAAACAGCACTGCACAGGCCAGAGACCGAGCCTGCAGATGAATCCAAGGGCAAGGATTCAGCACTCAGAGGACCTGCACGCTGGAAAGAACCTGGTCACAGAAAGGGAAACAAAGGCACATCAAAAGGATCAAAAGGGAAGCAGCCCACAAATCCTCGCGAAGTCCGGGTGCCCAAGACCTCAGGAAAAGGAAGCCCCCCTTCTAGTCCAGAGCCACAAGAAAGGGAGGAAGCCTGCGCACAAGAACCCGAGCCTGCGAATGCCCACCAAAGTGCTGGAGCGGAGGAGTCGCAGCCTTCCAGCAAGGCTTCAACTCCGAGGGAGGAGTCGGCGCATCCCAGTGGTTCCTGCAGTGCGAGGAGCTCAGAACTGGAGAAGCAAGAGCTGGAGCCCGCAGAGCCAGTTGAGCCAGCAGAGCGCGCATAGCCAGAAGCGCCAGCAGAAGAATCCAGGGAAAGACAGTACTTACTGTCAGTACTGACTGTCAGTACTGTCTTTGCCTTGGATTCATCTGCCGGCGTTGCTAGCTCTGCACGCTCCCAAAAAGGGAAACAAAGGCACACCAATTTTTGAAGTGCCCTTGTTTCCCTTTTTGGGAGCGTAAAAGGAACCGGCCAAGAAGCCCGGGTGAAGGGGGCAGGAAAAGGAGGGCTTCCTTCAACTTTGGAGCCAGCGCCAAAGATCACGGAGGCAGCCAGTGCTTTGGCGGGGAAGCAGGAAACATTGGAGTCCCAGCCTTCCAGCAAGGCTGCGACTCAAAGGGACGATTCACCGCATGTCAGCGCTGAGTCCAGCAGTGCGAGTAGTTCTGGACCGCCAGAGCCAGCGAAGGAGGAAGGACCTCGAGACCAAGCGGTGAACGGACCTGCAATCTCATTTGAGGATGGAACTGAAGATGGAGAGGGATCCGAGGATTTGTCCAACAAGCTAGAGTTGGACACATTTGACTATAGAACATTCTACCTGAATGATCTTCGAAATCGAGATTCGGACACAGAGCCAACAATTTACGGTTCTGATTCGGAATCCTCTGATGAGGGTTTCTAATGGTTTCTAGTCTGGTCCGGAGAAGTTGGTACTGTGCAGTACCACAGACATGCTCAGAGTTTCACCTAGCGCGTGCAAAAAAGAACGCAGCTGAGAAGTGAAAAGAATGAGTTTACATGAGTTTACAACAGTTTAGAGTCAGCAAAGATACAGATCACAGACTGAGCAAAGACTAGCAAAGAAGCATTTCTCAGCTTTTCAGACACAATTCAATCGAGGTCTAGGTCTTGGACAGGAGTCCTGAATATGGCTCAAAAAGAAACGATAAGATGAAAGAAACATCGGCATCAGCATCAGCATCATCAGCATCATCATCATCATCATCATCATGATCATGATCATGATGTTCATGATCATGATCATGATCATGATGTTCATCTTCATGTTCGTCTTCATTTTCATCTTTAGATAGCAAGTGCAAGCTGCCACATCCATGAACGCTTTGATAGCACTGTTGCAGCCTTAGCAATTCCAACAATGGTTCGAGGAATGCCATTGTTTTGATATGTTTTGATTGTTTTAAGGGAAATGCCAAGAAGGGGAGGGGATAAACACTGCCTTGGAAGTTCTCTAGCAAGAGTTGAGTGCTCAGTCTTGTTTGAATTAATACGTGAAAATTTGTTGATCCCTGTGCAGTTATTCTGCCTCCAGGATTTGCTTGGGACTGAACCCAAACCCTAAACATGAGACCTGGAGGAAACGATTTTGACACCGTGTTTTGAAAACGGTCCCTACTTTTGAGCCCCGCGATTTTGTTTTCTGAAAAACATTTGCTAAATCAGTGAAGACGAACAAACATGAGACCTGGAGGAAACGATTTTGACACCGTGTTTTGAAAACGGTCCCTACTTTTGAGCCCCGAGATTTTGTTTTCTGAAAAACGTTTAAGCTAAATCAGTGAAGACGAACAACCATGAGACCTGGAGGAAACGATTTTGACACCGTGTTTTGAAAACTGTCTCTACTTTGAGCCCCGAAAATGGTTTTCTGAAAAGCATGTGCTAAATCAGTGAAGACGAACAAACATGAGACCTGGAGGAAACGATTGTGACACAGTGTTTTGAAAACGGTCCCTACTTTTGAGCCCCGCGATTTTGTTTTCTGAAAAACATTTGCTAAATCAGTGAAGACGAACAAACATGAGACCTGGAGGAAACGATTTTGACACCGTGTTTTGAAAACGGTCCCTACTTTTGAGCCCCGAGATTTTGTTTTCTGAAAAACGTTTAAGCTAAATCAGTGAAGACGAACAACCATGAGACCTGGAGGAAACGATTGTGACACAGTGTTTTGAAAACGGTCCCTACTTTTCAGCCCCGAGATTTTGTTTTCTGAAAAACATTTAAGCTAAATCAGTGAAGACGAACAACCATGAGACCTGGAGGAAACGATTGTGACACAGTGTTTTGAAAACGGTCCCTACTTTTGAGCCCCGAGATTTTGTTTTCTGAGAAGCATGTGCTAAATCAGTGAAGACAAACAACCATGAGACCTGGAGGAAACGATTGTGACACTGTGTTTAATTATTAAAAACAGTCCTTACTTTGCAGTAATTACTTTGCAGAGCGAGATTTGCGGTTTATGAGGAGATGGATCACCTCGAGCAGTTCTTGTGGTGCAGGAGATTCAGTTGCTATTGTGGGTTTTCCATTGTTTTGTAAGAACCTTATCGCTGATTAATATTCTGTATAGTTATTCTATCGTATTCTCGTTTTTGATTAAGGACTGTGTGCTCAGTCGAAGATTGTGCAAGTGAGAAAGAACCTGGCGCACTTTCCCCCAGATTATGCAGATGATTCCAGTGGCGATATTCCTGAACTCATCACCGTCGCAAATTGACCGAAGAGCCAGGACCATTGACACATAGACGTTGATGAGCAGTGCGGTTGGGTAAAAAAGGATAGCCTCAAGTGCAACATGTGGTAGAAGTGCAAAGAACATGACCGGAGAAACTGACACAATCACCAGTCAAAACCAACATCTGAAATTTCATCTTATTTTGTCAACTTGTGTTTCATTACTGGGGAGGAAGTAGAGCTGTGCACAGGTGCGTGAATTTTAAACTCCACAGACACATGGGATCTCCATTGCTCACATTCTGGAAACATACGTTTGTTCGATTTGTACGGGCAATAGGTTCGATGTATTGGGAGATCTTTCCCCGAACCTGCCAACGCGTAAGATATCGCAAGATTGAACAATGAAGTGAAACGAAAAATCGCAAAGCAGTCATGATCCATGCTCTGCAGCGAGCTCTTGGCGCTTGAAACCGGATTTCACAGCTACAGCTACAACATCCAACTTTTCAAAACACAATGCTTTTTTCATCCTGCAAATCACAGCATACGCTGACTAGTGACTCGTGGTGTGAGGTGGTTGCAAGACATAGCCAAAACCGGCCGGCTTTTCCTTTCCACTGATTGGGCTGCTTCGCATCTTTTGCTAAAAGAGCCCGATATCAACGTGTGAAGGGTTACAGCCATTCGTCACGATGTCGATGGCGCACGAGTGGCGCCCATGCACATGGCAGGTAAATGCCGAGTTGGAAGCATGGATGCTTCTTGGCCGAGTATTTGATATGGTCTGTTCAATGGATGTCAACATCAATCTATTTCTCTTCGTTTTGCCTGCTGTTCTTCTCTGTTTTGAGGCATTTGCAGCCGGCTGTCCAACTTTTGTTTGTCTCACAGCTGGCACGGCAGCTTGCTAAGCAGCTGGATTGCGAAAGGGGCTGCTGCCAGCCTCCAGTTTTTGAGGCCAGTGTGCCTCTGTCAGACTTCCAGCTTGAGAAGCTTCCTGTCCCAGAGAAGTTGAAGTCTTTGTGTTTCTCATTTTCCCTGTTGAGAATGCAAGGCGTTCAATGCCTGGAGCAATCTTTGAAAAAGCATGGAACTCAGGAAATTTTGGAATTTTCAGATGGTATCTTACATCCTTTGATATCCGTGTCAAATCAGTGATATAATGACTTCATTTGTGGCCCTTTGCGGCCAAATGTGGGCGAGATTGAGAACAGTACAGTAAAAGGACGTAAAAGGGATATGACTTTCCGAAATTGCTCGACATTTTGACACCAGCCCCCCACCTCTGTCGACGCCATCACCTGAGCCTGCTGCGGGATCCTTCCCAATCAGGACCTTTTGCAAGTGGCTTCCACAGAGGAGGAGTCCGAGAAGGACACGAGGCTTTGGGCCGGTCAAGATCCAAACTGACCCTTCGTGACCATTTCATTGTGAGAAAAAAAATCCAACTACCGACTTTCAGTCAAGGGCATACTGCGAAGACATGCTAAGACGATCTATGACATAATTGTGAATCAAGCAGCTGGCTCATGCAGCGCAACTACAGCGTCTCTTCTGAACTCCTTTCCTTCCGTGCTCGGAGGCGACTCTCAGTTGGTACGACGGCTACGGGGGTCCCCGAAGAGGATGATGTGCTTCAGGAGCTTGATGAGTCTGACGAGGGGGAGGATATCAATAACGTTGATGATCATTCGGACGGAGATGGTGTTGCCCAGGCCATCTGCACAGTTTATTCAAGCTTCCAGCGTGCCGACTCGTCTCAAATTCTATCCGTGGCTGTAGTCTTGCAGTCCATGTTTGCAATTTAATGTGGCTGCGATGCAATTCTTGCTCGATCAACATCAAACCATGACCTAAGTCACTTGACATTCCAGTGTGTTTCGGCTTCTCGCCTCCACTTCACCTGGACTTTTTCTACAGGGCCTGATCGACCTAGGCATCCGCGCAGCAAGGATTGCTCAATGCTGAGTCTGAGGATGATTTAGAGGCTCCCCCAATTTCGCTGTAGAATTTTCAAATCGTGGGCTCAACCTGGAAAACGACGCAGGCACCAGAAGTGCTCAAGACTGAGTCCGAGGATAATCTGGAGGCGGCGATGTTAGGCTGTTAGGCTTCGACTGGAGGGAAACGGGCCTGATGTGCATTTCTTAGCAGTGCTCAACCTAAGGGAGCAAAACTGAACACTTTTCCTTGACATTTTGCGAGTATGGACTGGGGCCTCACTGCCTCACTCGGTTCTTTTGTACTCTGCCTCTCACTTGAATTCATTTGACCTGTGCCTTGAGGAATCTGAAGGTGGACATGAAAACTTTGCCGGCAGTGACGCTGGATGGTAGGAACATGTACAAACATAATTTGAACTTTGCCTGTTCCAGCATGAAAACACAGTAGAAAATCAATTTGTCAAATTAAGATCGGTTCTCCAGTTGTGCAATTTAGAAGCTGTGGGGTTTCAGGGATGGTTGCAAAGATCGTTTACCAAGTTGTGGAATCAGTTCCAAGTCTTTTGAGAGTTAACTCACGCACTAAAAACTGCCCATCTTTGGTAGGATTGGAGCAAGCACGACGATAAACCAGTGTTATGAGAGCGTGACAATCGTTGTTGGTCATGCTCGATTTTTGCACCATCAGCTGCAAGGGGGTTGTGATTTTACCTACTCTGCTTGAAAAAAAATCGCGACACGATTACACGATGTGTCTGCTTCTGGCTGGCAGCCACTGATTGCCTGATTGCCTTGGTAACTTTGCACATGTACGGCGCCAGCATCAGCTAGCATGAGCACCGTTAGCATCCGTTAGCGCTATCCAAGATGCAAAGTTGTGCTCTGGGAGGCTAAGGGAATCCACTTTGCACAGCCCCGCAGCTTTGAGGCTGATATCAGCTGAGGAGTTCTATCTCGACTTGTTTTCTCGCGCCTTCTCTCCCGTCAACGATGCCACCGAAAGGGATGAGCTGGGCGGATCTGGTGAGAAAAAACGGATCCAGCAAGGGCAACGGTGGAGCCAAAGTTGATGCAAAAGGCAGATCCACAGAAAGTCTGCCTTCAAGTCCCGAAATGGGACCAGACAAAACAACGGCCCCAAGTGCAAGCAACGATCTCCAGTTTTCACGTGGGAGTGTTGGCTCAAGCGGTGCTGGTAGTTCTGAAACAGCAATGCACAGGCCAGAGACCGAGCGTGCAGATGAATCCAAGGGACCTGCACACTGGAAAGAACCTGGTCACAGAAAAGGAAACAAAGGCTGGGCAAAAGGATCAAAAGGGAAGCAGCCCACAAATCCTCGCGAAGTCCAGGTGCCCAAGACCTCAGGAAAAGGAAGCCCCCCTTCTAGTCCAGAGCCAGAAGCAAGGGAGGAAGCCTGCGCACAAGAACCCGAGCCTGCGAATGCCCACCATAGTGCTGGAGCGGAGGAGGGAGGAGTCGGCGCATCCCAGTGGTTCCTGCAGTGCGAGGAGCTCAGAACTCCTGGAGAAGCAAGAGCCGGAGCCCGCAGAGCCAGAAGAGCCCACAGAGCGCGCAGAGCCAGCAGCGCCAGCAGAGCCGGCAGAGCGTGCAGAAGCAGCAGGGGAATCGAAAACAAAGACAGTCCTGACGGGCTGGGCGAAATTATTTGGAGGACCCAGTGCAGCAGACCCGGCTCCCAGAAAGGGAAGCAAGGGCTCTTCAAAAGGATCAAAAGGCAAGCAGCCCACAAATCCTCGCGAAGTCCAGGTGCCCAAGACCTCAGGAAAAGGAAGCCCCCCTTCTAGTCCAGAGCCAGAAGCAAGGGAGGAAGCCTGCGCACAAGAACCTGAGCCTGCGAATGCCCACCAAAGTGCTGGAGCGGAGGAGTCGCAGCCTTCCAGCAAGGCTTCAACTCCGAGGGAGGAGTCGGCGCATCCCAGTGGTTCCTGCAGCGCGAGGAGCTCAGAACTCCTGGAGAAGCAAGAGCCGGAGCCCGCAGAGCCAGAAGAGCCCACAGAGCGCGCAGAGCCAGCAGCGCCAGCAGAGCCGGCAGAGCGTGCAGAAGCAGCAGGGGAATCGAAAACAAAGACAGTCCTGACCGGCTGGGCGAAATTATTTGGAGGACCCAGTGCAGCAGACCCGGCTCCCAGAAAGGGAAAGAAGGGCTCTTCAAAAGGATCAAAAGGCAAGCAGCCCACAAATCCTCGCGAAGTCCAGGTGCCCAAGACCTCAGGAAAAGGAAGCCCCCCTTCTAGTCCAGAGCCAGAAGCAAGGGAGGAAGCCTGCGCACAAGAACCCGAGCCTGCGAATGCCCACCATAGTGCTGGAGCGGAGGAGTCGCAGCCTTCCAGCAAGGCTTCAACTCCGAGGGAGGAGTCGGCGCATCCCAGTGGTTCCTGCAGTGCGAGGAGCTCAGAACTCCTGGAGAAGCAAGAGCCGGAGCCCGCAGAGCCAGAAGAGCCCACAGAGCGCGCAGAGCCAGCAGCGCCAGCAGAGCCGGCAGAGCGTGCAGAAGCAGCAGGGGAATCGAAAACAAAGACAGTCCTGACGGGCTGGGCGAAATTATTTGGAGGACCCAGTGCAGCAGACCCGGCTCCCAGAAAGGGAAGCAAGGGCTCTTCAAAAGGATCAAAAGGCAAGCAGCCCACAAATCCTCGCGAAGTCCAGGTGCCCAAGACCTCAGGAAAAGGAAGCCCCCCTTCTAGTCCAGAGCCAGAAGCAAGGGAGGAAGCCTGCGCACAAGAACCCGAGCCTGCGAATGCCCACCAAAGTGCTGGAGCGGAGGAGTCCCAGCCTTCCAGCAAGGCTGCTTCTCAAAGGGACGATTCACCGCATGTCAGCGCTGAGTCCAGCAGTGCGAGTAGTTCTGGACCGCCAGAGCCAGCGAAGGAGGAAGAACCTCGAGACCAAGCGGTGAACGGACCTGCAATCTCATTTGAGGATGGAACTAACTCCGCGGTTCCACTGACAAAGGCTGGACGTTTTGAAGATGGAGATGGATCTGAGGATTTGTCCGATGACCGGCTTGAGTTAGACACGTTCGACTATCGAACGTATTACCTAAATGATCTTCGAAATCGAGATTCGGACACAGAGCCAACAATTTACGGTTCTGATTCGGAATCCTCTGATGAGGGTTTCTAATGGTTTCTAGTCTGGTCCGGAGAAGTTGGTACTGTGCAGTACCACAGACATGCTCAGAGTTTCACCTAGCGCGTGCAAAAAAGAACACAGCTGAGAAGTGAAAAGAATGAGTTTACATGAGTTTACAACAGTTTAGAGTCAGCAAAGATACAGATCACAGACTGAGCAAAGACTAGCACAGAAGCATTTCTCAGCTTTTCAGACACAATTCAATCGAGGTCTAGGTCTTGGACAGGAGTCCTGAATATGGCTCAAAAAGAAACGATAAGATGAAAGAAACATCAGCATCAGCATCAGCATCAGCACCACTACCACCACCACCATCACCATCACCACCACCACCACCATCATCATCATCATCATCATCATGATCATGATCATGATGTTCATCTTTATGTTCGTCTTCATTTTCATCTTGAGATAGCAAGTGCAAGCTGCCAAATCCATGAACGCTTTGATAGCACTGTTGCAGCCTTAGCAATTCCAACAATGGTTCGAGGAATGCCATTGTTTTGATATGTTTTGATTGTTTTAAGGGCAATGCCAAGAAGGGGAGGGGATAAACACTGCCTTGGAAGTTCTCTAGCAAGAGTTGAGTGCTCAGTTTTGTTTGAATTAATACGTGAAAGTTTGTTGATCCCTGTGCAGTTTTTCTGCCTCCAGGATTTGCTTGGGACTGAACCCAAACCTGAGTGATTGCCAGATATTGCCAGGCCACGTGTCCAAGCCCATGCAAGGGCACTCCCAGCTTTGCGGGTACAGGCCCGTCACGTTAAACCGAATTCTGTAATGTACAATGAAGCGGACTTAGTGTATTATGGTTGTTCTATGTTGTTCTTGTCCTTGTTATTACCTTGTTTATTTTTACCTAGCAAATTAAATTGGTGGGCCGCCTGTCCAAAATTGTTGGCCATTTCCTGAGTAGTTCGCAAAGCCAGGTGAAACGACGCCACGGATTTTCAAGAGTCTTGACACGAGGAACTGATGAGCATTCACTTCTGCATGTAGTTTTAAGATGTTTAAAGATGTTCGCTGCAACCCCTAGGTTTGCCCGCGGCCAATCCCGCATATCTTTTGACATGTTCAAATCCCTGCGCAGGGTTTAAGTTCACGAAAGGTAGCTCCAGTGCGGCTACCTTGAGTTTTGCTTTACGAAGTAAAGGGGAGGGCGGCCAGCCTCGTTACCTGATTATTCAGGAGATTGCTAGTCATTTCAGTCCCCCCCCATACCCCCACCCCCTTCCACCCTAAGAGCAGACTAAAAACATTGTAATTTACAGATATTTACAGTATTTTTGTTCTTTTCGGATTAAGAAACCACATTTTGCCACATGGTGAAACCTCCGTAAATACCAGTGTTTTTGCTAGGTGCTGGCCAAAAAACATTGTAAATACCGTGATTTTTGCTACCAGAGGCAAAAAACATCGTAAATACCGTGGTGTTGAGCTTCCGACCCGCCAAAAACATCGGTATTTACAGTGTTTGTTGGTCCGAGAGTTGTAAAAACACGCGAAAACACCACCTATATGACGATTTTCGGCCACTACGGAACCGAGAAAAAAAAGCTGCAGGGGCAACAGCAACAACAACAACAACAACAACAACAACAACAACAACAACGGCGAAACCACAACAACAACAACAACAACACCAACACCAACAACAACAGCAACAACAACAACTCAACCCCCCCAAAAAACAACCGACAAACAACCTAGCTAACAAACACATACAGACCATCAAACATATCCATTCAAAAACTAATCAAAAGTATGAACATAAAATAACAAAAAAAAAAAAAACCAAATAAAAAAAAAAAACACAATACAAAAAAATCCAAAACAAACCACAAACACAACAAACACAACAAACACAACAATCACAACCACAACAACGACAACACCAACAGCAACAACAACAACAACAACACCAACAACACCAACCCGACCAACAACAGCAACACCACCAACACCACTAACACTACCAACACCACCAACAAACCCAACCACACCAGCAACAGCAACAACACCAGCAACACTAACAACACCAACAACACCAACAACACCAACACCAGCACCACCAACACCACCAACACCACGAGCACCACCAACACCACCAACACCATCAACACCACCAAGAACACTTCATGTTTGTTCCCTTGCCCTCTCCCCTTCGTTTTTTCTTCGGTTCCTTTCTTACTCACCTACCTTTCGTGTTCCCCCTCTCAAGTTTTTACTTTCCAAAACAACAAACCAACACCAAAACCCTAAAACCTAAACCCTGAAACCTAAAACCCTAAACCCTAAATTAAAACCCCAAATCCTGAAAACTTGAAGCCAAAATCACTGCGTATAGCCAGTGTTTTCATTCATCCTCTGGTGATAAGTATATCATATTGTTTGGATATGTTGTTTGAGTGTGGGCGAACCAGGGGGTCGCGGGGTTTTAAGTATGTAAGTCTGATACGACTTGTGAGTGCTGAGATTGTGAAATGCTCAGCTGTCAGTGCGTGACCCTCAAGTGAAACTGCAGGTGGCATGGTGCATGGAATTTGCAGCGACATGCCACAGTTCGGGAGGTGAGCGTAGAGATGCATGAAGTACTGTGTCACAAGCTGTCCCATTGGATAAACAATAAAGTCATAGAGGGGAAGATTGTCTTTCAACGCTTGCAACGTTGTTTTTCTTTGACAAATGGCCATGGCAGGTTGGCAAGGTGGTTCAAGAAAACATGCCTCCATCTCGTTTTGTCTAACTACGAAGAGGCCGCGATGTGTCGGCTTGCACTCTCAAATGCGTCGAAATGATTCAAAATGTTGCTTGGCTTTTGCATTGCCTGGAGGTTGTGAGCAGGGTATCATAGTGTTCTTCTTACTTTGGATCACTAGCAAAAATATACATGGATAGGAATGGATAGAAATTGATAGAAATGGATACGAATAAATACACATTGGAAAGAAACAGGCAGGAATTGACAGAAATAAATAGACATGGAGAGACTGGAAAGGGGGATGGACAGAAATGGATAGGAATAAATCGCAATGGACAGAAATGAATAGGAATGGATAGAAATGGATGGGAATAGGAATGCATAGAAATGGATAGAAATTGAAAGAAATGACAGAAACTGGAGAGAAATGGAAAGAAACGAATCGAAATGAAGAGAAATGGAAAGCAATGGATAAAACATTATTGAAATGGATCGAAACATATAGAAGTGGATGGACATGACAAGAAATTGATAGGTATGGATTCTGGATTCTCTCCACTCCCTCCACCCACTAAAGATCCGTAGAGGTCAGAAAGCGCCGTGGCAGCCTTCCTTGCCTCTGTTGCTGGGTTTCGTCACCTGGTGATGCGAGCTCTTTCGCCGCATGATGCCAGGCTTGCTCTTTGGGCTGGCGCCGAGAATCCATGTAACACCTACCAACCAAAGGAACACATGAATTTTTATGAAAGCTGCTTCACACATATATGTATAAATATATTATATATATATATGTATATATATATATTAAATAAAGGAAGTTTGGAAGTCAAACTTCCGACAATATGGACAGATGAAAAGCAGAGATGGGCAGAGTCAGAGAAGAGAAGAGAAGAGAAGAAGAAAGAAAGAAGATCAAAGAGAAAGTCTCCAAAGAAAGAAGATCCAGGTGCGCGAAAAGCTAGGAAAGTCGTGAAAAGCTTTGTTTTTCCACCTATGACATATTCGCACCATAACTAACCTAGGAACAAAAGGAACACATGAAAAACTTATGAAAGCTGCTTCACACATACCTACATACATACATACATACATACCTACCTACCTGCATGCATGCATGCATACATACATACATACATACATACAGAAATACATACATAAATACATAAATACATAATTGCACCTTACCAAAAAATACGCACGTCATCACATGTCAATTACTTTAAATCTTAAAGTAATTGACATGTGGTTAAATTTTAAACCCATTTTGGATTATTTTGAATCCGGTTCCTGAGGTTTTGCCTCAAAGTGAACCAGTTCAGCAAGATGAGGAGGAAGAGGAGGGAGTCATGGAAGTCTCGGAGGCGCGCAGGGATGACCGGGACTTTTGCCAACAGTCAAGGAAGTAAGAGGTAGTAGCAGGTAGTTGATTGCAATAGTTGATTGCAATTGAAAATTCTTGATACTTCTTGGTTGTCCGTGGTGTAAAACCAGTCGTCCAACTCCTATTGAAAGACATCCTTTTCCTTTTGATGATGTCAAACAAACATACTTGCTCTTCCTGGCTTCGACTGGAGGGAAACGGGCCTGATGTGCATTTCTAAGCAGTGCTCAACCTAATGGAGCAAGACTGAACACTCTTCCTTGACATTTTGGGAGTATGGACTGGGGCCTCACTGCCTCACTCGGTTCTTTTGTACTCTGCCTCTCACTTGAATTCATTTGACCTGTGCCTTGAGGAATCTGAAGGTGGACATGAAAGCTTTGACGGCAGTGACGCTGGATGGTAGGAACATGTACAAACATAATTTTAACTTTGCCTGTTCCAGCATGGCATGCTTGTGATATATCAATATCATCTCAAAGAGATGAAAACACAGTAGAAAATCAAATTGTCAAATTAAGATCGGTTGTCCAGTTGTGCAATTTAGAAGCTGTGGGGTTTCAGTGGATGGTTGCAAAGATCGTTTACCAAGTTGTGGAATCAGTTCCAAGTCTTTGAGAGTTAACTCACGAACTAAAGCTGCCCATTTTTGGTAGGATTGGAGCAAGCACGACGATGAACCAGTGTTATGAGAGCGTGACAACTGTTGTTGGTCATGCTCGATTTTTGCACCGTTCGCTGCAAGGGGGTTGTGATTTTACCTACTCTGCTTGAAAAAAAATCGCGACACCGTTACACAATGTGTCTGCTTCTGGCTGGCAGCCACTGATTGCCTGATTGCCTTGGTAACTTTGCACATGTACGGCGCCAGCATCAGCTAGCATGAGCACCGTTAGCATCCGTTAGCGCTATCCAAGATGCAAAGTTGTGCTCTGGGAGGCTAAGGGAATCCACTTTGCACAGCCCCGCAGCTTTGAGGCTGATATCAGCTGAGGAGTTCTATCTCGACTTGTTTTCTCGCGCCTTCTCTCCCGTCAACGATGCCACCGAAAGGGATGAGCTGGGCGGATCTGGTGAGAAAAAACGGATCCAGCAAGGGCAACGGTGGAGCCAAAGGTGATGCAAAAGGCAGATCCACAGAAAGTCTGCCTTCAAGTCCCGAAATGGGACCAGACAAAACAACGGCCCCGAGTGCAAGCAACGATCTCCAGTTTTCACGTGGGACTGTTGGCTCAAGCGGTGCTGGTAGTTCTGAAACAGCAATGCACAGGCCAGAGACCGAGCGTGCAGATGAATCCAAGGGACCTGCACACTGGAAAGAACCTGGTCACAGAAAAGGAAACAAAGGCTGGGCAAAAGGATCAAAAGGGAAGCAGCCCACAAATCCTCGCGAAGTCCGGGTGCCCAAGACCTCAGGAAAAGGAAGCCCCCCTTCTAGTCCAGAGCCACAAGAAAGGGAGGAAGCCTGCGCACAAGAACCCGAGCCTGCGAATGCCCACCAAAGTGCTGGAGCGGAGGAGTCGCAGCCTTCCAGCAAGGCTTCAACTCCGAGGGAGGAGTCGGCGCATCCCAGTGGTTCCTGCAGTGCGAGGAGCTCAGAACTCCTGGAGAAGCAAGAGCCGGAGCCCGCAGAGCCAGAAGAGCCCACAGAGCGCGCAGAGCCAGCAGCGCCAGCAGAGCCGGCAGAGCGTGCAGAAGCAGCAGGGGAATCGAAAACAAAGACAGTCCTGACGGGCTGGGCGAAATTATTTGGAGGACCCAGTGCAGCAGACCCGGCTCCCAGAAAGGGAAGCAAGGGCTCTTCAAAAGGATCAAAAGGCAAGCAGCCCACAAATCCTCGCGAAGTCCAGGTGCCCAAGACCTCAGGAAAAGGAAGCCCCCCTTCTAGTCCAGAGCCAGAAGCAAGGGAGGAAGCCTGCGCACAAGAACCTGAGCCTGCGAATGCCCACCAAAGTGCTGGAGCGGAGGAGTCGCAGCCTTCCAGCAAGGCTTCAACTCCGAGGGAGGAGTCGGCGCATCCCAGTGGTTCCTGCAGCGCGAGGAGCTCAGAACTCCTGGAGAAGCAAGAGCCGGAGCCCGCAGAGCCAGAAGAGCCCACAGAGCGCGCAGAGCCAGCAGCGCCAGCAGAGCCGGCAGAGCGTGCAGAAGCAGCAGGGGAATCGAAAACAAAGACAGTCCTGACCGGCTGGGCGAAATTATTTGGAGGACCCAGTGCAGCAGACCCGGCTCCCAGAAAGGGAAAGAAGGGCTCTTCAAAAGGATCAAAAGGCAAGCAGCCCACAAATCCTCGCGAAGTCCAGGTGCCCAAGACCTCAGGAAAAGGAAGCCCCCCTTCTAGTCCAGAGCCAGAAGCAAGGGAGGAAGCCTGCGCACAAGAACCCGAGCCTGCGAATGCCCACCATAGTGCTGGAGCGGAGGAGTCGCAGCCTTCCAGCAAGGCTTCAACTCCGAGGGAGGAGTCGGCGCATCCCAGTGGTTCCTGCAGTGCGAGGAGCTCAGAACTCCTGGAGAAGCAAGAGCCGGAGCCCGCAGAGCCAGAAGAGCCCACAGAGCGCGCAGAGCCAGCAGCGCCAGCAGAGCCGGCAGAGCGTGCAGAAGCAGCAGGGGAATCGAAAACAAAGACAGTCCTGACGGGCTGGGCGAAATTATTTGGAGGACCCAGTGCAGCAGACCCGGCTCCCAGAAAGGGAAGCAAGGGCTCTTCAAAAGGATCAAAAGGCAAGCAGCCCACAAATCCTCGCGAAGTCCAGGTGCCCAAGACCTCAGGAAAAGGAAGCCCCCCTTCTAGTCCAGAGCCAGAAGCAAGGGAGGAAGCCTGCGCACAAGAACCCGAGCCTGCGAATGCCCACCAAAGTGCTGGAGCGGAGGAGTCCCAGCCTTCCAGCAAGGCTGCTTCTCAAAGGGACGATTCACCGCATGTCAGCGCTGAGTCCAGCAGTGCGAGTAGTTCTGGACCGCCAGAGCCAGCGAAGGAGGAAGAACCTCGAGACCAAGCGGTGAACGGACCTGCAATCTCATTTGAGGATGGAACTAACTCCGCGGTTCCACTGACAAAGGCTGGACGTTTTGAAGATGGAGATGGATCTGAGGATTTGTCCGATGACCGGCTTGAGTTAGACACGTTCGACTATCGAACGTATTACCTAAATGATCTTCGAAATCGAGATTCGGACACAGAGCCAACAATTTACGGTTCTGATTCGGAATCCTCTGATGAGGGTTTCTAATGGTTTCTAGTCTGGTCCGGAGAAGTTGGTACTGTGCAGTACCACAGACATGCTCAGAGTTTCACCTAGCGCGTGCAAAAAAGAACACAGCTGAGAAGTGAAAAGAATGAGTTTACATGAGTTTACAACAGTTTAGAGTCAGCAAAGATACAGATCACAGACTGAGCAAAGACTAGCACAGAAGCATTTCTCAGCTTTTCAGACACAATTCAATCGAGGTCTAGGTCTTGGACAGGAGTCCTGAATATGGCTCAAAAAGAAACGATAAGATGAAAGAAACATCAGCATCAGCATCAGCATCAGCACCACTACCACCACCACCATCACCATCACCACCACCACCACCATCATCATCATCATCATCATCATGATCATGATCATGATGTTCATCTTTATGTTCGTCTTCATTTTCATCTTGAGATAGCAAGTGCAAGCTGCCAAATCCATGAACGCTTTGATAGCACTGTTGCAGCCTTAGCAATTCCAACAATGGTTCGAGGAATGCCATTGTTTTGATATGTTTTGATTGTTTTAAGGGCAATGCCAAGAAGGGGAGGGGATAAACACTGCCTTGGAAGTTCTCTAGCAAGAGTTGAGTGCTCAGTTTTGTTTGAATTAATACGTGAAAGTTTGTTGATCCCTGTGCAGTTTTTCTGCCTCCAGGATTTGCTTGGGACTGAACCCAAACCTGAGTGATTGCCAGATATTGCCAGGCCACGTGTCCAAGCCCATGCAAGGGCACTCCCAGCTTTGCGGGTACAGGCCCGTCACGTTAAACCGAATTCTGTAATGTACAATGAAGCGGACTTAGTGTATTATGGTTGTTCTATGTTGTTCTTGTCCTTGTTATTACCTTGTTTATTTTTACCTAGCAAATTAAATTGGTGGGCCGCCTGTCCAAAATTGTTGGCCATTTCCTGAGTAGTTCGCAAAGCCAGGTGAAACGACGCCACGGATTTTCAAGAGTCTTGACACGAGGAACTGATGAGCATTCACTTCTGCATGTAGTTTTAAGATGTTTAAAGATGTTCGCTGCAACCCCTAGGTTTGCCCGCGGCCAATCCCGCATATCTTTTGACATGTTCAAATCCCTGCGCAGGGTTTAAGTTCACGAAAGGTAGCTCCAGTGCGGCTACCTTGAGTTTTGCTTTACGAAGTAAAGGGGAGGGCGGCCAGCCTCGTTACCTGATTATTCAGGAGATTGCTAGTCATTTCAGTCCCCCCCCATACCCCCACCCCCTTCCACCCTAAGAGCAGACTAAAAACATTGTAATTTACAGATATTTACAGTATTTTTGTTCTTTTCGGATTAAGAAACCACATTTTGCCACATGGTGAAACCTCCGTAAATACCAGTGTTTTTGCTAGGTGCTGGCCAAAAAACATTGTAAATACCGTGATTTTTGCTACCAGAGGCAAAAAACATCGTAAATACCGTGGTGTTGAGCTTCCGACCCGCCAAAAACATCGGTATTTACAGTGTTTGTTGGTCCGAGTTGGTTGAATTAATACGTGAAAGTTTTTTGATCCCTGTGCAGTTTATTCTGCTCCAGGATGTTGCTTTGGACTGAACCCAAACCCTAAACATGAGACCTGGAGGAAACGATTGTGACACAGTTTTTAAATTTGAAAACGGTCCCTACTTTTGAGCCCCGAGATTTTGTTTTCTAAAAAGCATGTGCTAAATCAGTGAACACGAACAAACATGAGACCTGGAGGAAACGATTGTGACACAGTTTTTAAATTTGAAAACGGTCCCTACTTTTGAGCCCCGAGATTTTGTTTTCTAAAAAGCATGTGCTAAATCAGTGAAGACGAACAAACATGAGACCTGGAGGAAACGATTGTGACACAGTGTTTCATTTTTTGAAAACGGTCCCTACTTTTGAGCCCCGATATTTTGTTTTCTAAAAAGCATGTGCTAAATCAGTGAAGACGAACAAACATGAGACCTGGAGGAAACGATTGTGACACAGTTTTTAAATTTGAAAACGGTCCCTACTTTTGAGCCCCGATATTTTGTTTTCTAAAAAGCATGTGCTAAATCAGTGAAGACGAACAAACATGAGACCTGGAGGAAACGATTGTGACACAGTTTTTAAATTTGAAAACGGTCCCTACTTTTGAGCCCCGATATTTTGTTTTCTAAAAAGCATGTGCTAAATCAGTGAAGACGAACAAACATGAGACCTGGAGGAAACGATTGTGACACAGTGTTTCATTTTTTGAAAACGGTCCCTACTTTTGAGCCCCGCGATTTTGTTTTCTAAAAAACATGTGCTAAATCAGTGAAGACGAACAAACATGAGACCTGGAGGAAACGATTGTGACACAGTGTTTAATTTTTTGAAAACGGTCCCTACTTCGCAGTTTGAATCTTGGGACCTGGGTACCCTTGGCTGGATCGTCTGGGCTAGGCCAAGCAGATGCCCGATGTTCGACGACGATTCGGAGTCCGAGGCGCTCAGCAGAGCGAGAGCGGTCTATGAGGAGATGGAGCACCTTGAGCAGTTCTAGTGGTGGAGATTCAGTTTTCCATTGTTTTGTAAGAGCCTTGTCGCTGATTGATATTCTGTATAGTTATTCTATGTTATTCTATCGTATTCTCGTTTTCAATTAAGGACTGTGTGCTCAGTAGAAGATTGTGCAAGTGAGAAAGAACCTGGCGCACTTTTCCCCAGATTATGCAGATGATTCCAGGGGCGATATTCCTGAACTCATCACTGTTGCAAATTGACCGAAGAGCCAGGACCATTGACACATAGACGTTGATGAGCAGTGCGGTTCGGGCAAAAAAAGGATAGCCTCAAGTGCAACATGTGGTAGAAATGCAAAGAACATGACCAGAGAAACTGAGACAATCACCAGTCAAAACCAACATCTGAAATTTCATCCTATTTTGTCAACTTGTGTTTCATTGCTGGAGAGGAAGTAGAGCTGTCCACAGGTGCATGAATTTTTAACTCCAGAGACACATGGGATCTCCATTGCTCACATTCTGGAAACATACGTTTGTTCGATTTGTACGGGCAATAGGTTCGACGTATTGGGAGATCTTTCCCCGAACCTGCCAACGCGTAAGATATCGCAAGATTGAACAATGAAGTGAAACGAAAAATCGCAAAGCAGTCATGATCCATGCTCTGCAGCGAGCTCTTGGCGCTTGAAACCGGATTTCACAGCTACAGCTACAACATCCAACTTTTCAAAACACAATGCTTTTTTCATCCTGCAAATCACAGCATACGCTGACTAGTGACTCGTGGTGTGAGGTGGTTGCAAGACATAGCCAAAACCGGCCGGCTTTTCCTTTCCACTGATTGGGCTGCTTCGCATCTTTTGCTAAAAGAGCCCGATATCAACGTGTGAAGGGTTACAGCCATTCGTCACGATGTCGATGGCGCACGAGTGGCGCCCATGCACATGGCAGGTAAATGCCGAGTTGGAAGCATGGATGCTTCTTGGCCGAGTATTTGATATGGTCTGTTCAATGGATGTCAACATCAATCTATTTCTCTTCGTTTTGCCTGCTGTTCTTGTTTGTTTTGAGGCATTTGCAGCCGGCTGTCCAACTTTTGTTTGTCTCACAGCTGGCACGGCAGCTTGCTAAGCAGCTGGATTGCGAAAGGGGCTGCTGCCAGCCTCCAGTTTTTGAGGCCAGTGTGCCTCTGTCAGACTTCCAGCTTGAGAAGCTTCCTGTCCCAGAGAAGTTGAAGTCTTTGTGTTTCTCATTTTCCCTGTTGAGAATGCAAGGTGTTCAATGCCTGGAGCAATATTTGAAAAAGCATGGAACTCAGGAAATTTTGGAATTTTCAGATGGTATCTTACATCCTTTGATATCCGTGTCAAATCAGTGATATAATGACTTCATTTGTGGCCCTTTGCTGCCAAATGTGGGCGAGATTGAGAACAGTACAGTAAAAGGACGTAAAAGGGATACGACTTTCCGAAATTGCTCGACATTTTGACACCAGCCCCCCACCTCTGTCGACGCCATCACCTGAGCCTGCTGCGGGATCCTTCCCAATCAGGACCTTTTGCAAGTGGCTTCCACAGAGGAGGGGTCCGAGAAGGACACGAGGCTTTGGGCCGGTCAAGATCCAAACTGACCCTTCGTGACCATTTCATTGTGAGAAAAAAAACCAATTACTTTACTTCGTGTGATCCCCACCATGACATTTATACATTTTCTTACTGGCAAATCTTCTGGCATTCTATCTGACATATCTTCTGACATTCTATTTGACATTCTATCTGGCATATCTTCTGGCATATGATCTGGCATATCTTCTGGCAAATCTTCTGGCATTCTATCTGGCAAATCTTCTGGCATTCTATCTGGCATATCTTCTGGCACTCTATCTGACATATCTTCTGGCATTCTATCTGGCATATCTTCTGGCATATTTTCTGACATATCTTCTGGCATTCTATCTGACATATCTTCTGGCATATATTCTGACATATCTTCTGGCATATCTTCTGGCATATCTTCTGGCATATCTTCTGACATATCTATCTGGCATATCTTCTGGCATATTTTCTGGCATTCTATCTGGCAAATCTTCTGGCATTCTATCTGGCATTCTATCTGGCATATCTTCTTGCATATTATCTGGCATTCTATCTGGCATATCTTCTGGCATATATTCTGACATATCTTCTGGCATTCTATCTGGCATTCTATCTGGCATTCTATTTGGCATTCTCTCTGGCATATCTTCTGGCATATCTTCTGACATTCTTTCTGACATTCTTTCTAACTTTCTTCTGCACATTCTTTGTCCCATATCTTCCTACATGAGGTCCGGCAGGGAACCCTTGGCGTGGATACTCGCGGTTGAGGTCCGGCAGGGAACACTGGGCGTGGATGGTCGTGGTTGAGGTCCGGCAGGGAACACTGGGCGTGGATGGTCGTGGTTGAGGTCCGGCAGGGAACACTGGGCGGGGATGGTCGTGGTTGAGGTCCGGCAGGGAACACTGGGCGTGGATGGTCGTGTTTGAGGTCCGGCAGGGAACACTGGGCGTGGATGGTCGTGGTTGAGGTCCGGCAGGGCACACTGACGTGGATGGTCGTGGTTGAGGTCCGGCAGGGCACACTGACATGGATCGCAGTGGAGCAGGAGGAGGACGAGGAGGACGAGGAGGAGGAGGAGAGGAGGACGAGGCAGGAGGAGGAGGCAGGAGGAGGAGGCAACTGACATAAAATCTAACAACCCTCACCTGGCAGGTGGGGAACTACCGACTTTCAGTCAAGGGCATACTGCGAAGACATGCTAAGACGATCTATGACATAATTGTGAATCAAGCAGCTGGCTCATGCAGCGCAACTACAGCGTCTCTTCTGAACTCCTTTCCTTCCGTGCTCGGAGGCGACTCTCAGTTGGTACGACGGCTACGGGGGTGCCCGAAGAGGATGATGTGCTTCAGGAGCTTGATGAGTCTGACGAGGGGGAGGATATCAAAAACGTTGATGATCATTCGGACGGAGATGGTGTTGCCCAGGCCATCTGCACAGTTTATTCAAGCTTCCAGCGTGCCGACTCGTCTCAAATTCTATCCGTGGCTGTAGTCTTGCAGTCCATGTTTGCAATTTAATGTGGCTGCGATGCAATTCTTGCTCGATCAACATCAAACCATGACCTAAGTCACTTGACATTCCAGTGTGTTTCGGCTTCTCGCCTCCACTTCACCTGGACTTTTTCTACAGGGCCTGATCGACCTAGGCATCCGCGCAGCAAGGATTGCTCAATGCTGAGTCTGAGGATGATTTAGAGGCTCCCCCAATTTCGCTGTAGAATTTTCAAATCGTGGGCTCAACCTGGAGAACTGCTTTCACCGGATATCTGCGGCTTCGGCCTAGCCCAACCAAACCCTCTGGCTCCTTGATAGCTCATCCACTTGACTCGGAACATCAACTCTGGTGCTTTCCACTGCTGTACCTCAAACCTAACCTCTCCCACATGAGTTTCGTCACACGTGCAACGTGTGCAGTTCCCTTCCAAATCCGACGATTGATTGGAAGCCATCTGCAACAAGACGGGTTTGTATATAATTTATATTAATTTATATGATATGGTACAGTGATAGCTAGTGACTCGTGGAACTCTTGCAATGTGTGGAAAAGCCTGACATAGTCGTCTAGTTTTCTTACAACACCAATACTAAAGTATAGCTGCATCAGACTGCGAAAGGCCGCAAATGCTTTGCGGCTCAACAAAGAGGCTATACATGTATCCTTTCATTTCAATTAGGCTTTAGATCTACATTGTAGCTATGCACCTGACACGATTGCCTTGATGATTAGAGACCTTTCCTCGTGTATCTAATCTTCCTCGAGCCTAACAGCCTAACATCGCCGCCTCCAGATTATCCTCGGACTCAGTCTTGAGCACTTCTGGTGCCTGCGTCGTGATTCGGACGGCGAGTCCGAGGTGCTCAAACGGGGGCAGATCCAAGAGAAAGGAGGGTGACACCCTGGGTGTAAGCGAGAATTTTATTTCATGTTGTTTCAGGAAATGGAATGAAAGATGTTTCGAATTTAGATAGAGGTACTCCCATGCATACTGAATTGAAATTGAAGTCATGTCAGACAATCTAAATGTGAAGCTGGACAAGGGATACGGCTTTGGGACTTGGAAATGGGTGCAGCAATGGAGCTCACCAAGTAAAAAAACACCCTGTCCTTTGTTCTCAAACAAAATGGCTTTGACAATTCTTTACACCAAAGCACTGCTTGGCGCGAGCTGCTGCTAGCTCCCCTGTTTTGCGTGGGACGACTTTGTCCTGACGGTGCCTTGGCCAGGTCGATGAGGAAGCGGAGTTGAGGCGGGTCTGTTAGCCCTTAGACACAGCTGAGCCTACTTGATGCCCGGACAAGTGAGCCGGCAGCGAGCCTTGGCACCAGGTTTGAAGAGGAATCAAACTCCAAGAATGAGACGAATGAGGCCACTCAATTGGAGCCTTAGTGGTGGGTGGCTATCAAGCACTTTTGACCTCTCCAATATATCTTTTCTCACATGAAATCGCCTCGCTACAGTATCTTGTCCCTCTTTCCGAGTACGTGATCTCAGCACTCTGAACTTCGGGATCCGTTGCAGCCTTGATATGTGACAGAGGTGGATGTTTCGAATTGTGCTTCATGCACTGGGGCAGATCAATCAGATTGCAAGTGGAGTCTTGGCCACACGCTGTGAAAATGGGTCTCTTTGTGATCGGAGTTTTTAAAATGTTTTTTCCAATTCAACTTGATGGAATTTTCTTTGACCTTTCTGACACGATCTCGGCAATTGTTTCTTGCTAAGGGCTTGCGAAGTTGCAACAACCTTGCAAACAAGCGAGGGTTCCGATGCTGTCAATGGAGCCGTTCGGCTGGAAGTATATGCTCAGTGGATGGCTGGTTATTCTGGGCGGCCGGTCAACCTTTCAACCCAAAGACAAAGAACTGTGGGACCCTTGAAGCTTCTTTTTTTTTTTGGTGGCGTTTGATTGATGAACTCATGAATGTAGTGCAGGTGTTAGAAGCCTTCTTTGACTTTCAGGATTTGAACCAGTCATGTTGGTGACATGCTTCCGTTTGAAATGATACATACGACTTTGAACGTTGACGAGGTTGTTCAAATCGGTGCAGCTGATGCATGCGCTCCTCAGACTCTCGTCTGCATGTGGAGTTCCTTTCGCCGCAAGGCATCATGCAAATCGAAACATCTTTGGATTGTCTCTGAATGCGTAGGTTTGCTTTGTGTGTGCATCAAGACTAGGGCGCGTCATGGTCTGCGCTTTGATCGAGAAACGACATGGTATGAATCCTCGGCGACTGCAGGAGCGAATCCTTGGAGGCCAATTTCCTTCCTGAGCTGCTCGGCAGAACAAAGACAGATTGAAACTGATCAAATTCATGGTCAACAGCTTGCTGCGGTGCTGAGGATAATTCTGTCTTCACGTACTGGGTTTTCTTCCTGTGCCTCAACTTATGAAAGGGTACATGCGAGATGTGCAGAAATAAACGAGCTGTCAGGCAGAAACTACGTAGTTTGATTTGATCATTGTTGTTACAGTTACAGCTGTTGTCATTATATCATTATATTTTCACATATTTCTCAGCCTGAAAAGCGTGAAATTTGGCAGCCCGAGCTGAGGTGCAAGAAGTGATGAAACAGAAAGTTCGGGCAGTGTCCAGCAATTTTGGGTGCCACAAGGCTGGTGGACGAAAGGATCAAGCAGTTGACAAGCTTTGCATTCCGATGTCAACTGAGTCAACTCTTAGCTTTTAAAGATGGCGCAGGTCTGGCTAACTCACTTGTTCCGCTTGGTGGACATAGACACACTTCAGCCGCTGAGTGATGTTCCGTCACGTGGCTGCAGAAGTTTGTGGTTATAATTGAGCAGTTTTGCATGTTTTTGCTGTGTCAAGGGCTCGCTGTTTGGGGTCGTCTTTAGGTGCCAGCCATTTTTAAAGCAGGAATAAGGGATGTCAGTATGAAGATCATTCTGCGGAGGAGAGGAAATCGCCTTTCGTTGCCGGCTCCTCTTTATTTTCGGCTGCATTCCTGACCCTTTTCGGCTTTTGCTCTTGTCCTGTCCTTTCTAGCGTACCTACTTTTCTTTTATTTTCTTTGGCTCGTTCTTCTGCTTCACCCCTTTGCCAGCGCCTTCTCCTCTTTGACACCC